TTTGGGCGAACCAATTCGTGATCATTCGGTGCCCTCGACTCATCGCGTGGCTACAATGGTGGTGTGCAGGCCTTCGGAAACGTGATCGCCTGCTCATAGTCAGCAAACGCAAGTGGGGACTGATGCTCAAAGAGGTCCTGGAATCGTTGTCTCTTCAAACCTGCGGGATGACTTTAGCATCGTTGCGGGGTGGCGGAGCATGTCATATGTTCAAGACCACACAAAACTTCGCCATTCTCCAATTTTCCGGCCGGTGGCGGCGGCCAGAAACCCTACATCATTATTTGCAAGACGCGCTTGCCATCCATGCACTGGCTAACGCACCAACTGAGGCAAAGGAGTTGTTGGCACTTGCTTTTGAGCACGTAGACAGCTTATCGCATCCTCCGCAGTGGGCTCGGACGAGGCTGCTAGAACGGGGGCGCTGATGCCTGGTCCTCTGCGTCACGCCTGGCGGAAGATCGCTGTCGGCACCTTCGGCTAGCTTTTGAGCAGAGATGAAAGAGCGCCACTTTGTTACGCGGTTTCTTCGCCCTCGATGGAACCGACCAACAGGCCGACTCTGCACTTGTCCCGCCCGCCTTCGGCGAGTCGGAGACCGACACCGAGCCAAGCAAGTCGGACAGGCAGTGCTCCCAGGCACTCCGGTGCCGCTGTGGCGCCCGCAAAGATGGATGAAGCAGCAGAAGGAGTCCTACGGGCAGTTCAGGTGGCGGCAGCCTCTCTAGGCTCCCAGCCTGTGGAGCAGGGAGGCCTGAGCGCCGCTGAGACGCTTGGGGATCCTCAAGAGGTGGCTAAAGCAGCTCGCTGGCGGACAGGCGACTCAGTGCGACGCATGACCTCAGCCCTGGCGCGCATCTCGCAAGTGTTGAGAAGTTTCGTGGAAACTCCAGCGCAAGGCCTGCAAAACGGCGCTGTACCCTCTGCGGTGCGGCCTCTACCTCTATGTGGCTCCAGTGCCGCCGTTGTCCAGGACAGGGCACAGGCATCCTCTTTGACGCCAGCTCGGCCCTCGACGACTTTCTGCTGGCCCGCGCGCTGGAAATGGCTGATGGCAATCCTGTTCCTCACGGCGGTGCTCTT